CCAAATGGTCTAATATTCGGGTCCAGCCCTACCAAACAGTACTCCATCACCAATAAGTGCACCAGAATGTAAACTAGAATGGTGTGTAATGTTGACTGATATTTTAGAATTATTACTTTGCAAAGACTTTGGGAAGGTGATAAAGGCTACATCCACATTACCGGGTTGAAGTGGCACAAATCCGATTTTTTGTCTTAATGTGACAAAGATCTGATGTTCTTGAAGCTGTGTGGACATGCAAATCTGATCGTTTCAAATCAGATCTGAGCCACTTTGGCTACGTTTACATTACAAGACTCCGTTCCAATTGTTTGCTTATATCTGACCTTTTTAACTCACTGGTTCACATTTGTGTAGGTAACTGACTCAAATCTGTCATTAATGTGAATAAGCGTGTCCTGAAACGACCCTCATGTGCACGTCCTAATCACTAACGTCATGTGACCGAATCACAGGCATCGTGAACAGCACACAAACTAACCAGCTGAGTAGGCCTTCGTCGCAAAGACAGTTTGCTCTAAACAGCTCTTAACTGTTCATTATTAGAGCACGACGAAGGGAAAAAGGGTCCGATACATTTGCTTTTGCACCGTTTACTGGCTATCTTCAGATTAGGTGCTGCTGCCATGTGAACTATAAATGGTGCATTCAACGTGGGGGGATGGGATTCCCTTCTAAGCATTCTCATGAAGGTTGCTTTGCCACAAATCGGATACGTATCTGATCTAGGACCACATATGAAAGTTCACATCACCATCTGATTGTTTTGCCTTGATGTGTCACTTTTCAGAGCTTTAGCAAACATGCATATCTTATCTTTTCAAATCAGATCTGATCCAATTTCATATCTTGTCCTAGATCGGGTGCATATCCGATTCATGGCCATGTGATCTCATCATCCAGTTTTGGCAGCATGGCAGCAGCGGCTAACGAAAAGTTTATAGAAGCATTAAATCTTCTGGCCTTTTTTTTTACCTTCCCCCTTAATCATGAACAGCTGACAGTTGATCAGAGCTAATAATCTTTAACATGGAGGCTCGTGTTGCTAGTTTGTTCATTTGTTTATGAAGCACATGGCTTATTCGTGTGATGCTATTGATCAAGTTGTGCTCTTTTGGCTCATTTCAGAGCACAGGTTTGACAGATATGGGACACTTACAAACATGATTGAAGATTGGAAGATTGGCTCTGAGCAAAAAATTTGGAGTTGAGAAGATATAAATATAAGCTAAATAATGCAGTTATTAATTGCAGATATTGTGACTGTTTAAGCAGTTGGAAAAAGAACTAGAACTAGTTTTGTTGGTTCCTTTTTGGGTCAGTTGTTTGTTTTTAATGTGCAGTGGAAAAACTCCCATAGGTATCACATTCTTAAACTTTCCACACCCCCCCATAACATTTTGGCTGTTGAAAAACAGCCTTATGAATATGGTTAGAAACCAGGTTTTAATTAAAAAGAGGGCACTTTTTTCCTTCTTCTTCATTTAATCCATGGTGCCCTGCTGGCTCAATCAAAATACTAAACAAAGAGGTTGTTGTTAATATCTGGGCATATGGAGAGAGCTTGGGACGCTGATGAAAGCTGATTGGAGGGGAAAAAAGGAAATAAAACACTTCATGCTGTACTTTTGTTCACTACAGTAGGTGAAACTGCTGCAGGGAATGTGGCAGTGGTGCCGTCATTTGTGTATAGACTAACTCAGAGTGGAAACATGAGCGTGTGCTGATTTATGAGCCCTCTATGCCCTGGAAGTGTTCCCCAGGCTGTGTAGGCTAAAACGATGCTGCTTACTCGATGAGATGGCCATGTTCTGAAAGGGGCGTAACTGAAATGGGATATAGCTGCTTTTCTTGCATCTCCGGCAGGAAACCTTTCCTCAAAAATAGAATAATTTCTTGTAAAATGTCTCGCAACGGTCAACCTTTTACGAGGTTGAAGTCAGCTTCTCATTCTCCAGCTTCAATTTCCCCATTCCACCTTAAATGGTGCCTGAGGTGCCAGAATGTAACTGCTGCACCACTTAAGGTGGAACGGGACAATTCGAGAAGCTGGCGAATGAGAAGCTGATTTCAGTTTCACGACTTTTTAGTATTTGATAGTTTCTCGTTGCAGATTAAACGTATCAGGAAACCTTATAAATGAGAGAGTTTGTCTCCAAATCATCGATGTTTGTCTTAAATCTTTCTCTTTGCCGTTTCGTTAGCGTGACCAGCAGTCTATGCGCCAACCTTCAGGGTTAAAGGGTGAGTTAGCAGATATTGGCTACATTAACTCCAGTGTTTAAGACTGCTTATTGTTAAAACTGCGTTAGAACGATCAGCAGAGCTTTATTTTACTACGAAGGAGGATTATTTTCTTTTTACCTAATAATAAAAAAAATAATAATAATTCTGCTGTGGAGCTACAACAGGGCCGTAAAAGAGCCGCTTGCCGACCCCTTCATTAGAGCTATCTGTGGATTACAGTATAAAAGTCTTGTAAATATCAGTGTTTTATTAGCAAGATTTTTTGCAGGTACCTATAAATCCACTCAGCCTTATGAAAGCTGAATTCCTTTGAGATGTTAATAAGGTCATTCAGAGTGGTTTGGTTATAGAGTGGAAATATAGTTTATTGTAGAGAAACTTACCAGCTCAGATTTAGTTAGGTGATAAGAATCAGGGGTCGCAGTGTCTACAGCACAAATATATGTATATATATATATATTTTCTATGTACTGTCCAAAATGACCAGTGAACCTACGCGTGTATTCTTAGTTTTTGTATGTAATGATGACGGTAAAATCGAGGGTAAATTTCAAAAAAAAGTTTTCTTTGGAACACATTTTGCCTCACAGCACCATTCATGTACCTTTAGGCCACTAAACTGTTCTCTCAGAACTACTGTAAAACAGTATTTCAGGTATCAGGAGCATATTATTACCATTTCATGCAAGTATTTTCTGTGATGTAGCTTTTAGAGACATTAAACTCCTCAGACATCCGGTTCCCATCACCATCAGTGTGAACAATTCTGACTGGTTAAGTTTCTAACTCAGTAACTAATACAAAACCACTGTTTGTTTACATCTCAACAATGAGTTATGCAGGAATCCCAGAATTGAAAAGTGCAGAGTTTAGAAGGGCCCTCTCTCCTCTCTCTATTCTCTTCTGTGCCAGTCAGCGGCGCCTCGAGCACAAGCTTATTAAACGACCCTAGAGATTAACCTTAGAAGTAAATTTGAAGTCCAAGTTTAGAATGTCCAGTCAAATCCTCTGTAGTTGGTGAGGCGTGAGCCGTGTGTCCTCTTCTGTGTTGTATGTCTGACAATGCTGAGGCTAAGCTGGTGCTTTAATTTTAACTGTCTAGCCCTCGCTCATGTGTTCTGTTCTTGTCTGAGTAGCGCTGTTCACTAGGACCTGGTGGAACCTGATCTCTTTACCCTGGACAGTCTGTGTGTTTGGTCAGCAATAGTTCATCCTCTGTTCTGTTTGTTCTCTGAGGCTGATTAGTAAACACTCTACAGTCAGTATGAAATAACAGACCTGAAGCTGGGGTTGGAGGTGGGGATGGTCTAATAAGAAGATTTTTGGCAACTCATGCTATCAGTATGTTCATGTATGATTCAGATGTTTTTATTCATTACATTTATTACGTAACATGGGCAATAATTAATCAAAAGCTGGTAAAACAAAGTGATGAAATTATTAACCGTTCATAGACTAACTAATGTATCATTACTGCACCAGACAGATCTGAACTGATACTGATATTGAGTATCTGGCAGCACCATTGCATTCCAGTATTTTCATGCATTACTGGTTTTAAACTTCTGACCCCTGGAGTAAGAGTGTATTTTATTTGTCTAAAGTTTAGTAAGCTGAAAAAGATGCAGTGCATTAGCAGACGTGTAGTGTCACATTTACAAATACAATAAAAATTAAATTTGATTTTTCACATTCTGCACATGACTGACTACATTCAGTTAAACAGAACCAGTTCTGCTATCATTGACCCTGACATCACTGGAATTCAAACTTGTAGTCTCCTGACAATAGGGTAAAACCTTAGACAGCTCCATCCAAGACTGGCTTTACACTGTGAAACTTTCATGCAACTAGTTGCATGTTATGAGTTGCCTGGGCCAGGGCGGGGCTTCTTTTCAGCTGCCCAATAAACCATCTTCTGTTTCATGTTCTTGTCCATTGATCCAGTGTTTCATGAAGCTTGTTCCACAAAGTTGATACACTTGCAACGGTTGCAGTTGGGTTTCAAATGAGTTGCAGGACACTTTACATTATGCAACTCAAGTGCAGTTTGGTTTCATGTAGGTTTCAACCATCCAAAGCTGCATGAAAGTTTCACTGTGTAAAGCCAGCCATGTAAAGTCTGTGAACACGTTTTTTACCTTCTGAGGACTTTAGAATTGAACTTAAAGGCGAATTCCCGTGAGTTTTCAAATGTTCTGCATAATTCAGTGATTGAGATGTAGAGAAAATCGTTTGATATATGTATGTTATATGTAATGTTGAACTTTTCTTTGGGTACTGTTTTGCCTCACAACACAGAGTCTGTACCTCTCTGCCATCTTTTAGGCCAAAAGCTTCATTCCTCTGTCTCAAAACTATCATAAAACAAACCCTCAAGCATCATACGAAGGGTTTGTAACAATTTCATGTGTTAGCTTTTTGTGAGGGAGCTCTTAAAGGCATTAAATGCTTTGGCTGTTTGATGTACCACCACTGTGAGCGGAGTGTTTTACATCAAATCACTCTGAATAACTGTTCAAATCGTAACTAATTAAGACGAAATTTTGAAAAATCAATGGAATTTCCCTTTAAGTCTATAGACAGCAGGCCTCCCTGCTGATGGAAAGCTGCACTTGATGTAAGCTTCTATAGGTGACGTCATACGAGACAAAAAAACAGCACGGCTCTCTGGGAGGTGGGTGGTCTGTCCTTGCGTTTAATATTACGCTGTTGCAACATTGACTTTAACGTGAATATTTGCTTTGTTACAGGGAGTGGAGCCACAGCAGTTGTCCAGGCAGCCTACTGTGTACCCAGAAAGGAAAAGGTTGCCATTAAACGCATCAACCTGGAGAAATGCCAGACCAGCATGGACGAGCTCCTGGTAATGAAACAGTTGCACAAACACAAACAGATTTGGAAGTTGTTTAGTTACCAAACAGCAGCACAGGTGCTTGTGATGGCAGTTATTTTTATGATGTTACCATGTTATTTGGGATTTGACTGTTGAACTCTTAAGAAATCTGTTGCTTAAAGAAATGGTTTGGTGAAAAATCTGATTTGCACAAATATACCACTTACCCCAGATTTATGCATTCAGCCAAGACATGTTTGATGTCCAAGTTTTGCTTCTTTAGCATTAGAGCTGTTAGAGTAATGGTGCTACTAGATGTCACTAGTCACCCAAATCTTTTTTGTAAATGCATCCTCAAAACTTCGACCTGCTCGAACCTAATTGAGATGTATACAGTCACAAAGACTGGCTTTACATGGTGAAACTTTCATGCAACTAGTTGCATGTTGCGAGTTGCCTGGGACAGAGGACGTTCCTTTCAGCTGGCCAATAAACCATCTTTTATTTTATTTTCTTGTCCATTGATCCAGTGAAATCAGTGACTTGAAAGTATGGTATTGGACATGGTCATGTGTTGTTCAGAGTAGTTTGTTGTGAAATGCCCTGTTCACACAAGTTTAGCCAAAAGCATCAGTGAACCCACACATCCTCTGAGTTTTTATATATAGTATTGATGGTAAAATAGTAGTAAATCTGAAGTTAATACGTTTTCTTGGGGAAGTATTTTTCCTTACAGCGCTTGGCATGTACCTCTTTACTGAATAAATTAAAAATATAGGTCAATCTTTCTCAAAACTGCCATAAATCTATGTTTCAAACGTCATATTCATAAGCATTTCATGCAATACATTTTTGTGAGTTGGCTTTTAGAAGCGTTAAATTCTTCAGTTGCCTGATTTCTGTCACTACCACCGTGAACAATTCTGACTCCTGTTTTAGAAAAGTTTCTTTAGAATGCACCATTTCACTTCAGACGACTGGCTTTGATTACATCTAAACAGTCTCATTCAGCTGTTTTGTAAAACTACATAACTATGTGTGTCATGTAGGTGTATGGACATTACAGATTATTTGTGATTTCTGTTGTTTCTCTTTATAAATAGCTGTTAATCTAGAATATTCTAACCTAAAATACATGTTTACAAATGCAAACATTATAAATCACAATGTAATCCAGATTTCATATGTCCTTATGATGCTTGAATGTGAAGGGGAGTTAGATTTTGCAGGAGACTAAGTTCAGCACGACATCTGTTGCTGAAAGTGTCTGCTGTGTTCAGCTACATAGTAAAGTTTTGCTAAACTAGAGCAGAGTTTGGACACCAAACATGTCTTGGCTGATCGGCTGCATCTGGGCTAAATGGAAAATTTTCACCGAAGCGTTTCTTAAAGACTTTCTTGAAAAGCATTCATTGTGCTGTTTTTGGGGTGGGAAAACTAATTGGTGAGTTTAAGGTTTTCTGCTGGAATGCATGTGGAACCTGTCCAGCAGGATTTAACCAATGCAGTAGTTTCTTACAAAGAACACCTCATGACTAAAACATCATTGTCATCACGGATCATCGCAGGCCATACTTGAGAAAAACTCCCAAAGGCAGAGAACAAAGACCAGCATTGTAGAAGTGTCGCATGTCTTCTGACAACTACTCATTAAATCGTTTTCCCAACCGCAAAGAGATGATGCAGTCAACCTCTCCTAAAGGTACTGTGGAGTATAGATGTAGATCTGGATCATATTAAAATTCTCATTACGCCTCTATGGATGTTTCACATGTGACTCTCCTGGATTTAATCTTTGTCCTGCTTTATTAACTTCATTTTTCAATTTCTTGAGGAGCTCAAAAGGTCATCCACAGGTTGAAAATGTAACTTACCAGCAGGCTGTATGATCCCTAATGTTAGCTGCTCCTTTGATTCTTTGGTGCTGGAAAAAACTTCTGATTGCATTGTTCAGGCGGAGTGGAGGGGGGACTAATATTTATGATTTTCCACAGTATACTATACGGATCATTCCTCCGAGTTCAGGAACTGTGATCCTCCAGTTAAAAAAAAAAGATAACTATTTAAAGCCAAGGCGTTTATAGAGATAGTAATAAAATACATACAAAGTCTTTATTTTTAGAATATTTTCTATTGGGAGGTGCTGTTCCAAACACCAGCCTCTAAATTTTACCTTATAGAAGTAATACCTTTTAAATGCTTTTTGCCATTTCAATGTGGCTTTTAAAAAGATTTTATATTTTAGATTCATAGTGAAGTTAAAAGATATCTATTTATCATGAGTCTAATTTTTAAATAAAAACACTATATACAAAAACACTGTCCCACATATTCATGTCACTATTGAGTTGTAGTCCATAGATGGAGCAAAAGGATTTTAATCTAAAGTCCAAGTCAGTTAAAAGTCCGAAATGGGGTTTCAGCTCTGAACTTGAACAAGTTTGTTGGTTAGTTAACCACAAATCAGACATTTTGTCAGGTTTTTAAACTATTATCAATATCACCTATAATACCAGTAATAAGAATGAAAATAGAACATAATACTGCTAATTTGAGCTCATGGCAATTCAGTACAAATATGGTTGTACTTATTTAACATGCACGTTGGTGTAAACAAATACTGCAACTATTCCGTGTTTCATTTAAGGACAGATTACACTGTGCTTTTGTTTTATGCCACTGAAAAAATAAACAGTACAAAGCACAGCTAGTGCAGAAGCATATCATATACTGCAATAATACAGCATTTAAATGTAATTTTAGAGTAATGATCACACTACCCAATCACTTCGTTCTACTGTCTTAAAAGTCTAAGATGTTTGTTTATATCACAGTTTATACGTACCAGTCATGGTAATTTTAACACTATTTTACCAAATTTTATTCAGTAGGGGGAGCAGTGCACTCGCGGATCATCCTCAAACACCACCTACGGGCACAGCCATTGGCTCACAACCTTGTTGAATGCTTTATTGGCTTCGTATCGACACATCTGCATAAATTAGGGCGTGCCTCATATAAATGATACACTAGTGAGGTACTGATATGGTGGTGCTTGATTTCACGCACTGAAGCTGATTCATCATTTGCTCCCAGATCAGCGCTTGTTTCCACATCAAAGGAAAGCTTCATGATGTGGAGTAGAATCAGATGCAGAGTAGTTTCATTAAAGGTGGTCTAATCTGTCCCTTTTTTTTACACAACTTTGATGAACAAGGGCCAATGTTTCCAAATATGAGGTTATCAGATGATATTTAACTGAGAGTTAGAATAAAATAAACAGAATAAATAATGTTATGAGCCCATGATTCTTAAATATTGCTACTTTATGTAGGCTCCAATATGGGAACTGTAGTCCGATGATTTTATTAGTTTTTTCCGTGTACGTATCTTCCAATGAAAAACATTTATAAAATGCATAAAATGGTCCAGCTGGATTAGCATTAGATGAATGTAACACTTAGTTGTAGAAAGATTCAAATGCGGGAAAATGAATGCAGTGCAGACATTTCAGCATAGTAGCCCTAGTAGTCACCTAACTCTTCGCTTTTCTGATGCCATTTTTGGGGTGATTTAGAATCATATAGGTGTGAATTCTGTGGCTTATTCGCACAACTTGGCTCAAGACTTATCATAAAGTACTTTCATGTCACAAAAATAGGCTTATAGGTGAGTTTTGAGAAAGATCTTTCTGTTTACTGTCAAAATTTCCAGGTGACGTTGCTGTGGTAGTGCAAGATGATCAAAAGCACATTCTACTTGAACTCGTTCAACTACATAAAAGATCAATGTTCCATTTGAGCTCTTATTAAGTTGTTTAGCAGAACCATTCTGGATTGTGGGATGAATTGGATGAAGGATCAGAGTTTTGTGCAGAAGTGGGCTGCATGGAAAAGCAGCCTGGTTGGGTAGGCCTTTATGTCCTGCTGAGCAACCACAGGAAGCGTTAAATTAAACACAGATTGCTACTAAAATGAACTGGATCTGCGGTCAGCTAAATGCAAGCATTCCACATTTGGGCTAGAACCTTGAGCAAATTCCTCCAAGAGGTACAGCCGATTGCACGCATGATATGGCCCGTTTACCCCAGCAGAGCATGCTCTAGTTCTCCTCAGTATAATCTCTGATGGTCAGTGTCTTTTAAGGATCCCAAATGTGTGAGAAAAATAAGAAATCTTATGACTCGTGCGGTCGACTCCTTTAGCTGAGAGAGATCTTTTTTCACAGAAACTCTGCTTATGTTGTGACCCAGGGAGGTTTTTCTTCTCTCGCTCAGCTGAAGCCTCCAGACTAGCAATGATGTAATGGTGTGTCCATAGTGGCTCCTCTGTGTTTCATCACAGCGTCCATATGACGTGACTCTCCCCGGGTGTTCTCAAGACACGTGATGACTGTGCTAATGCTTCATCTGATGAAACCGCTTGCACGTTAAAAGCACTTGGCTGCGAGACCAATTTCACTCTAAATTCCGAGTGAAATTCCTCGTTGTAGCAGCTGTTACTGGAAGGAAGATCTCTGCCTGCAGCAGGCCCAGAATAGCTTAGCCTATATTCCCCAGTCATCCACTAATCAGAATTCATTTGCTTCCCCTTCTCTCAGCTCTCAGCTGTCAGCGCTAAGCTTTCGTTTCAGAACTGCTGAATATTAAAATCCATGCAGTCGATCTGCTGAGATCGTAGCCTTTGTTAGTTTCTGAAGGAGTGCCCCCCCGTCACAACCCCGTGCCTCTGAGGAATGCTTCTCCCTGTATTGACAGCTCTCTTGTGAGGTGAATCAGCAGAATTTCCTTTCCAGCCCAGTTCCCTTCGGAATATCTGCTTTGATCTGACGGCACGTCCCAGTAATGAATCGGACACTTTTGTCTTTTGTTGGAGGCGCTTTTCGCCTTTCGTTGGGTGCCAAGCAGCATGAGGGGTGGGTGGGACACGGGAGGTGGCAGCTGTCACAGAAGCCTTTTTCAGCATGAGGTCATCCTGCTGCCCACGGCTGCCCGGCCACAGGGTTCAGGGCTGGTGCAGAGCCGCACGGTT